AGAGCTCCAAGGTCACAGTTCCTTCTCTTAGCACAGTTCCAGCAGACTGTGGACTGCCCTTGAAGATTCAGAAGAATGAATTTATCTCTAGAATCATTCAAAGCTCACACAATTCAGCCACTCCCTGAGTATAACAATTAATTCCCACTCACCAGGGGCATGTTTATCCCCTGACTCAAGTTTACTCAGCTCTGGATCAAAATTGCTAATAAGTTTATCTTTTTTTTTGAGACAGAGTTTCGCTCTTGTTGCCCAGGCTGCAGTGCAATGGTGTGATCTTGGCTCACTGCAACCTTCACCTCCTGGGTTCAAGTGATTATCCTGCCTCAGCCTCCCGAGTAGCTGGAATTACCAGCATTAGCCACCACGCCCAGCTAATTTTTGTATTTTTAGTAGAGACTGGGTTTTACCATGTTGGTCAGGTTGGAATTGATCTCCTGACCTCAAGTGATCCACCCGCCTCAGCCTCCCAAAGTACTGGGATTACAGGCGTGAGCCACCGTGCCTGGCCCTAAAGAGCTTATCTTACAGACTACAAAGCATGGTCCACATGGGGTGACAGGAGCAAAAGGCCCAGAAAGGGAAGTTCCCAGCTGCTTTCTTTACTTCTCTGGGAACAGAAAGCAGCATTCGAGGTGATCACCTTATAAGTACAGCATGATCCTAATTTTATAAACTACAACAAAATCCAAAAAGCCCAAGTAAGGCTATGTGACTGTGTCTAGAAACAAATTTCCAAGCCAGAATACCTGGGACTGAACCCTGGTACTAATATTGTAGTGGGCTGAATATCTCCATATGCACCCCACCCACCCCCCCAAAAAAAGGGATCCATCTGGAACCTGTGACTATCACCTGATTTGGAAAAGGGATCTTTGCAGATACAATTAAGTTAAGGATTTTGAGATGAGATCATCCTGGATTAGGGTAGGCCCTAAATCCAATGATAAATGTTCTTAGAAAAGAAAAGAGGAGATGACTCAGGGAGAAAGTGATGTGAACACAGAGGCAGGGACTGGAGTAATGTGTCTATAAAGCAAAGAGCATTAAGGGCTGCCAGCGGCCAGAAGCTAGTACAAGGGAACAGATTCCCCCTTAGAGCCTCCAGAAGGAACAATCCTGCCAACACCCTAATTGTATACTTTGGCCTCCAGAGCCATGAAAGAATACATTTCTGTTGCTGTAAGTCATTCAGTTTGTGATAATTTGTTGTGGCAGCCCTAGGAAAAATACACAAATATCAACCTCAGGCAAGTTACTTATCATCTGTATGTATCAGTCTCCTCTGCTATAAAACAGGGATTTTAATAAACCTAATTACACAGGATTGCTGTGAGCATGAATGAGTTAATGTATGTAGAGTGCTTAGAACTGTGTTTGACACAGATATAATTTTGGAACAATATATATTATTGCTATCATCATTCTCATCAATATACATACATAGACATTGAGAAGCACCTGCCAACAGCTCTGGGTATTGGGATACAACATAATACATTTTTACTGAGCTTCTCTGTGTGATACAAATTATATGTGAGGGACATGTATCAGTTTTCTAATCAGAAGGCATTTATTAAGTTGAAATGATCATTTCATTTACAGTGGTAAGGGCTGTATACCCGCCAGTTCATCCTCAGATAGAGAGCTACGCGATGCTTTGCAGGGATGGAATATTTAAATGGTATGCGCACTGGCAGAAATCTCAATCTGATTATTACCTGAGAACAACAATGCACAAACTGCTCCCGGTAACCTACTCTTTTAGAAGCTGAGATGTTCTAAAAAATTGCTGCCTTTGCCTAGCACAAAGAAACTGGTTTCTTGGTGTGCTTTTCCTTCCATGCTAATACTACTTCTACAATCACAGCGTGGAACTTCCAGATTTCATATTAGATTCTTTCTGTCTTCAGAGTTTATAAACTGTGTACTATTCAGATTTCTGGTTCTTTTCACTGTAAGCATTGCACAGCACTTTAATTTCATTGACCTATTTCTCCTATGAAAAGCACTATTTTGTAAAAGTGCTAAACCCAACTCAACCACCTCGAGTTAAGAAATATTAACAATGAGAGTGTAACACAACATAAAGCTGGCACAATAGAAAAAACATGGAGAAGAGCTGCTGACCGGCAGTCATGATGACGCAGAAGGGCCCCGTGCTCAGCAGCTCTTCAGGGGTGAGAGGACTGAATCATTGCAGTCTCCCTGGCCCAGTAATAGGCGGGTGGGTTGCAAGCACTTTTAAACAATCAGTGTGGCTTTGCAAAATACACTGTCTGCAAATTATCATTATCAGCAGCTCCTTCCTGTCACACGAAGTAGGTTGTGTTTTACCTCGGCAGAAACTGAGGGGCTGCCAAGTTAATGTTCTCATTCAGGACCCCCTCTGAGTGGACTGCAGTGGGCCTTCTAACCCTCCCCTGCCTCTGCTAGGTGAAGATGGTCCGCCTAATTATGTTTGAAGCTTCAGGGGAGAGGTTGCCAGTTGTTTTCTTCATCAAACATAGACACAGGTGTTTCCTGGGAGCCTGGGATGGGAAACGCACCTACGAATGTGCTTCTGGGGCAGGTCTCCCAGCATCACTCTTCATTTGCTTTTTGTTTGTTTAAAGGGGTGGGGTCTCACTATGTTTGTTGGAGTGCATGGCTCACTGCAGTCTGAAACTCCTGGGCTCTAGTGATCCTCCTGCCTCAGCCGCTGGAGTGGCTGTCACTATAGGCCCATGCCACCATGCCCAACATGCATGGTGAGCCCTCTGTGACTCTTTGCTAAGCCTCCTGGCACCATCCACCTGCTCCCGTTCTTGACTGCCAATTTGGGGTTTTTCTTTCTGCCTCATGCCACTGAAGACTAGGCTCAGTTCCATCTCTCTCCCTCTCCTTGCTGATGCCTAAGTAGATTTTTAAAAAATTATTATTATTTTTAGACACGGTCTTGCTCTGTCATCCAGGCTGAAGTGCAGTGGTGTAACCACAGCTCACTGCAGCCTTGAACTCCTGGGCTCAAGCAATCAACTTGCCTCTGCTTCCTGAGTAGCTGGGAGTACAAGTCCATGCCACAATGCTAGCACAATTTTTTAAAAAGTTGTTTTTGTGCAGATGGGGATCTTACTGTGTTGCCCAGGTTGGTGTTGAACTCTTTGCCTCAAGCAATCCTCCTGCCTTGGCCTCCCAAAGTTCTTGGATTATCGGCATGAATCACCTTGCCTGGCCCTAAGTGAATTTTTATCTAGTGATTTTGTTCCAAGTATCTACAAGCAGAATACAGAAGAGAAGGAGGCAGGCAGGCAGGCAGGAAGAAAGGAAGGAAGGAAGGAAGAGAGGGAGGCAGAGAGGGAAAACAGGAGGTGTGAGGTGAGGGAGAGAGAGCGAGTGAGCTGGTGAGTGAATGAATAAGCCCTAAAACCTTAAGGAGCACTGAGGCGTGAGGCTGGGTGCTCTTCTCCATCTCCACCGCCTCATGCTCTCATGCCATCTCCAAGGAGTTACCCTGTCAATTTCTGACTGCTCCAGCATTCTCCCACCTCCTCTCTGAATTCCCTGAAGCCCCCAACGTGTCCCTGCTCCTTTTCACTTTTGCAGAGAGACCTTGAAGACCCAAAACGAGTTCCCAATGTATGACAAGATTCATTCCATGCCTGAAGAAACTCCTACCTGTCCAGTAATCCCTGATTCCTCCTCCTGGTCCACCTGATTCTACCTTTCCTGTCCCATTTCCTTCGTTTCTCCTTCCTTCATCTGTCTTCATGAAACCTTTTCATTTCTGTCATCCTTTGATTGTCTCTCGGCTCCTGCTCATGAAGCCACCTGTAGTATTTTTAGCTTATCTGTAGAGAGGCCATCTGTGAACCTCTCTTATGACCCGTATGGCCTTATCTTCCTGAGCAGGCACACCCTTCTGAGTCATCTCTGAATTTCCTACAGCACCATGGGCTGACCAAGGTAGTTATCAGCCAATAACCAAATAAACAATTCTGCAGACTCCTGAACACTCATCCTCCACTCAGACCTCTACTAAGGACAAAAAGGAATGTATATGAAGACAATAACTTGGTTTCTGATCTCCAGGAGCTTACATACAGCTTGCTGGAGAGAAGGGTAATATATATTAATGAATAAAGAGCAATAGAAGATAGGGAATGGGATTACTGAGGATATATACTCTTGAGAGGTTCTATTTTTATAAAACTAATTTGGATCTTAGTAATTTTGGTTTATTTTGGACAGGTGAAAAGACGGCCATTCTAGGGACAGAGATTATCAGTATCATATGTACAGAAACCAGAGCAAGTATGGTTTGTTCAAAAAAACCTGTCATGATTAGGAACGGAACAGGCAAGGGAGGGAGAGGAGATCTAACATTCATCACGTCTCTGCTGATACCAGAACATGGACTAAGCACCAGGCATTATTCCACTTAATCCATATAACAATCTGCAAAGTAGATGTTATCACTGCCAATTTTATAAGCAAGAAGTCTGATGCTTGAAGGGATTAAGAAACTAGCCAAGGTTACACAGGTTAGGTGGCAGAGCTGGGATCTGAAAAAGGCAGCCAGCTTCATTGAGCGGTACCGTTTCCTCTCAAGCAAAACATATAAATATCATGGGGTGAGTTCTTCAGTTAGGGGGACTTTCTGTATTCATGAATAAGTCAAGCTGCAAAGCAGTGAGCACAATGCATAACATCTGCGGGGCTCAATACACGTTGGCTGACTCTTAATGCAAATCTTTCTACTCAGAGAGAGAAACAAGAAACCTCCTCAACCAGATGCGTCTTCTGCCGAGAAATGACGGAGGGCAGGCCTAGAGCTGGACAATCTCTCCAGGCTAATAGAAAGCACCAACAAGGGATACAGATGCAAGGGATGAATACCACTTTGCTCCAGTCTACTTCAGCTACAAAAGAAGATAAGGAATACAACAGAAGACAGCTCTGTTGTAACAAACTCCCACCCTTAGCAGTGATGGATACGACGGATGACAGAGGATACATACTTGGTCTCATTGGCACATCGAATCTTGCAGCCTTCCTTGGGAATCACCAAGCCCAGGTGCATTCGGAGCCTGCAGTTTGTGGGCCCTGTGTGCGGCCACACGTGAGTCCCAGGGTGCATGATGGAATATTTGATCTGCACAGAAAACATGACACGATGTTCAGCCATTTATCAAGGTGTGGAGGAACTGCTGTTAAGGTGACAGTACAAAATTACTGTCAATTTGGATTAGAGCCTTTGTGAGACTCAATATTTATATTCACATCTTATTTCTTTGTAAGGAACTAAAAATAGGCACTCACATTTTTCACAAAGCAATAAACACTGAACATTTTCCACCCTCAATTCTGACGTCAACCACATAAAATTATGTTTCATTAAAGAGGGAATGTAAAAAGAGGCAGTCATTTGGCCCAAGGAAATAATCATTTCTTTGTAAAGCTCAGCACGCCCTTATTCCTGACAATTAACTGTGTTCTTTCCAGCATGACACTCTTGGTACCTGTCCTCGTCTGCATCCTGTTGTCTCAGGGAACTTTTCTAGTAAGGTACATGTTTTAGGAGCTCCTTTACAGGCATTCTCATTTCTTCTTCCTAGAATAAATAATATAATGGTTATTCTTCCTAGAATAAATAACATAATGTTTGGAAACAAATCATAGTAAAGCTTTAACTTATCCCATTTAGATGAGGTGAGAGCTATATGTCATCCTCACTGCAGAAATGAGAAGACTGAGTAAACATAAGATGAAGTAAAAATGCAAAAGGCTTACTGGAAAAAAATGAAAAATAATCAATAAAAAAAGAAGACATGTCTTACTCCAATAGGTAGTGACTGGCAGAGCAGAGATCCAGATTCTTCACTCGGTGTTGGACTGTTTTGACTAAGAATGTCTAATGGACAAGATGCACGCTAAAGGCAGTTAACCCTTAAACAACACAGGGGTTAGGGAATTCAACTCTTCATGCAGCTGAAAATCTGAATATAACTTTTGATTCACCAAAAACTTAACACCTAATAGCCTACTGTTGGCTGGAAGCCTTACCCTATGTTATCAATAGTTGATTAACATAATTCGTATGTTACATGTATTATATACCATAGTCTTACAATAAAGTAAGCTGGAAAAAGAAAATGGCATTAAGAAAATAATAAGGAAGAGAAAATACTTTTACAGTATTGTAATATATGTATCGATGCCATAAGTTTACGTCATCTATTTACAAGATGAATTGTCTGTCTGAAATGGCCTGCAACTATAGGTGCAGACCTTCATCTACAGTACACATCAAGCAATTCAACTTTTTCTTGTAGGGTCATGATTTTTCCCTGCTTCCTGGCAGTATTTCCAGCATCACTAGTTGCTCTTTGTATAGGTCCCATGGTATTATTCAAGGTTTGCAGCATTGCATTAAACACAACGAAAAATACACAAGAACCATGAGAGACCACTTTTTACTGTGATACGCAATTTACCAGAGACAGGAACAGCTCACATGGAGATGATAGTATCACACGGTGTTTTAAGCAGATACTTGAAACACTTGAGCTTGCCGAATAGCAACAGGAAGCGGCTATGAAATTATTATAGTAGTACAATCTGTACTATGGTTAATTTAATGGAGTTAATTTAATGGAGTTAAATTTAACACTGTATCTTTGTTTATACTTCTCTTGACTGTGAGTGGTGCTATGTATGGTCTGTAAGTGCTTCCATGCATATGTTGATAAATTTTATTTCTTTATAATAGATTTATATATATATAGTAAATGATAAAATAGATTAGTATCTATATATATTTCATGTATTCATGACATACCTTTTTCTTTTTTCTTTTTCTTTTTTTGATGGAGTCTCATTCTGTCACCAGACTGGAGTGCAGTGGTGTGATCCTGGCTCACAGCAACCTCTGCCTCCCCAGTTCAAGTGGTTCTCCTACCTCAGCCTCCAAAATAGCTAGGATTTTAATTTAATTTATTTTTCCCCCTGTGGTATTTCAGGAAGGGATTTTAATTTTTTAAAATATTTCCAGGCTAGAAGGTTCATCTGCAAATTTTTTCAAATTGTCACAAATCTCAAAAAATTTCCAATATATTTATTGACAAAAATTCGTAGGTAAGTGGACCCATGCAGCTCAAACCCATGTTGTTCAAAGACCAATTGTACTTATTTTTTCTCCTGTGACAGGTAAAATAATAGTCACCTCCTAGAGATGTCCATACCCTCATCCCACAACCTGTGAATATGTTAGCTTTCATGCAAGGGGAAATTAAGGTTGTAAGTGGCACTGAGATTTCTTATCATCTCACCTTAAAATAGGGAGTTTAACCAAGATTACCTGGATGGACCCAAGGTGAATCACAGCATCCTTAAATGTGGGAGGAGGACGCAGATGAGTAAGTGTCAGAGTGATACAGCATGAGAAGGACTTGACTGGCCATGCTGGCTCTGAAGATGGAAGGGGGCCATAAGCCTGGGAATGTGGGCAGCCTCCAGAAGCTGGAGCCTCTAGAGGGAATACAGCCCTGGTGACACATGCATTTTAGCTTAGTGTAATCCATTGTAGACTGCTGACCTCTAGAACAGCAAGATAATAACTGTGTCTGTGTTTTAAGCTATTAAGTTGTGTGGTAATTTGTTACACCAGTCACAGGAAACTAATACATCCCCTAAGAGAGGAAAATGGTTTATATTTCTAACCTAGAAATGAATTTCTAGGACTATATTAGTTGCCAAAACACTATTTTTCATTGGAATTTAATGTCTTTTTCAATATCCAGATCATCCTTCATATGATGATAAAGAATAGGATTTAAATGAAGAAGGGATTTTTGAGAGAGGACATATTCTATGCATGACTGTCAGGAGCACAGATTTCGGGACATATCATTTAAGCATCCTGAACTATGCAAATTTCTTTACACTCTATGAATCCCCTGCTTAGTAGGGAAGGTGTGTTCAGAATGTACACAGTATCATCTGCTCTCATGGGGGAGTAAAACAATGGAATTTTAAAAAGTCAGAGACATTTTAATTCCCTATTCAAGATTCCTACAAGACACTGCTACATCTAAAGCTGAGTTTAATTTTATTTAATTAATGTTAATTATGTCCTAAGATAATCATATATTGAGAATAAAATAAGAGTTACAAAAAATGCAACTAAAAGGTATTCACCCCAATCAAATGGAGCTCAATGTTTTAGAAAACAACTTAGCTTTTTCTAAGTAACCTTTTTGGCTCTTAATTGAATAAAATGTTAATTGCTATTATTAGTTACTAATGGAGTTCCCCAAGATGAACAGTAAATGTCAGTTTGGGTGAATATTACATAAACGTATGAGTCATCATAAAGCATTTTTAAGCCCGGGCTTTCCAAGCCTTCTGGTATGCAGGGCCTAGGACTGTTTGGCAGGAGTCCCCAGTTCTGAGCTCTGTGACATCCAGGCAGCAGTAAGTGAAACTGGTGGCTTGAGGAGCAACCAGAGGTGGCCTGGACTTCTCACAAGCACCACGTGGCTGAGCATGTGCTACCTGGAGATCAGATGTGCCTTACCTGAATGACAGGTAATGAATGGGTAACCAAATGGGTTGTGTCCCTGAGATTTTCACAGAATTAGGAAACACCTCTAGCCCTTCAGACACATTTATCTTTCTGGTCTGTAAACACAGATTCCCTGTGCAGTAGACTCTAAGCATTTGTGCTTTGTCACTGGTCATTTTAACTATTCACATCTGATCATGAGGGCCCAAGAAATGCAACAACAGTTCCTTGGTGCTCACCACAGGCTAGGAACCACTCTACATGATGAGAGTGCCTCATTTGATGTCCACAGCACACAGTAAGAGAGGCTTGATTAATGTTATATTTTATAGAAAGGCAACTGAGGCACAGAGGGGTTACACAGTAAACAGCAGAGCAGGAATTTCAATTCAGCCAGACTGGACACAGAATTTATGTTCTTAACTCAACCATAGACCACTTCTCCATTGCTGTTATTACACAATGTGCTATTGTTAGGCCATAAAAATGTAATATTACTATCATATTAGATAACTGTGCCAAGTCTTTAATCTAGTGCTCACTGATCCTAGTAACAATCTCATACTTGAGGCACTATTTGCCACTTTTCAGATGAGGGATTTGAAGCTCAGAGATTCAGGGACATGCATACATCGCACAGCTAACAAGCGGTACATCTGGAACTCTAACCTAGATGTGTTGGTTTCCAAAGCCTATGCTAGAAATCATAATTTCTCATTTTATTGCATTGTAAATTAGAAGCCAGCTATGCAAGAGCAAACTAGTTAACTCAACATGAAGAGAAATGCTCAGCATCTGCAACTCAGTGTGGCTGTGGTGTTGTTTGATTATTTCTCACCGAGGTTAAAGTAACTCTCAAGAATAAACCTTGCTTCTTTGGGAATATAGCCCTAGAATGAGATCTAACAGTCAATGCAAATCTGAAATAATCATTTAAATATATCACTTACACATCAATATACTTCGTGAGGGCCATTCATGGAGCTGGTGTCCTGGGTTTTATCTTTTGTAAATTTCAAAGCTCTGCTTCTAGGGCAACAACAGGTTCCATTTTGCATGACAACTCTGATATAGTAGCCACCTAGAACACTGTGTTGAGAAGAACTTAGAGGTTTAGCCTCAGCCTATTCAGAAAGGCTGCTGGGGTCAGTTAGCACCTTTCTCGTGGGCTCTAGAAGAAAAAATGACTGCACATGCGTGGCATATTTTAATCATTGTTGGTGGCCCTTATTAAAATATGAGCAAAGTAGATGTTCCATAATATTCACATAGCAATTTAAAAACATATTTTTGGGGAACAAAATCATTATGCATATTTGCTGATTCTGTCTTTTTTCCTTTAAAAAGGAATATAGTTCAGTCCTAATGAAACTATTTGGAGAATGTATCAGTTTTCTAGGTCAGCTGCAAGCAAATACCACAGATTGGGTGGCTTAAACAACAGAAGTGTATTTTCTCACAGTTCTGGAGGCTGTAAGTCAAAGATTAAAGTGTAAACAGTCTTGGTTTCTCCTGAGACCTCCCTTCTTGGCTTTCAGGTACCACCTTCTTGTGTCATCACATGTCCTTTTCTCATCCCTAGTGATATGGTTTGGCTTCGTCCCCACCCAAATCTCATCTTGAATTGTAGTTCCCATGATCCCCTTGTGTCATGGGAGGGGCCAGGTGGATATAACTGAATCATGGGAGTGGTTCCCCCATCCTGTTAGTGGGGGAAACTCCTGATAGTGAGTTACTTCTCATGCTATCTGATGGTTTTATAAGGGGCTTTCCCCTTTGCTTGGCACTCATTATCTCTCTTGCTGCCCTGTGAAGAGGTGCCTTCCGCCATGATTGTAAGTTTCCCGAGGCTTCTCCAGCCATGTGGAACTGTGAGTCAATTAAACCTCTTTTCTTTAAAATTTACTCAGTGTTTCTTCATAGCAGTGTGAGAACAGACATACCTAGTGTCTCTTCTGTTTCTTACCAGGGCACCAGTTACACTAGGACAGGGCCTCATCCTTATGACCTTATTTAATCTTAACTGTCTCCTTAAAGGCTCTATCACCAAATACAGTCACACTGAGGGTTAGGGCTTCAACATATGGATTTTGTGGGGGAAAATTCATAGTTCAGTCCATAGTAGATTTTACTTCACAAAACTTCGAGCCTCAGCTTTAGGCCTTCGACTACCCAGCAGCATGCTTTGCTAATTAGACCACAGCTAAGTCTTTATTGAGCTGGATATTCATCAACTTATTGTCTAAATCTGAGCTCTCAATGTGGCTAAGCAAACTGGTCTGTCACCTCCCTCCCCACCATGTCCGCCCCTACCCCTTCCACTTCAGAATTCCCCTCCTCTATTTCTGAACCACAGCACCTGAGAGGGATGCTATCCTCCTTCTGTGTAATTGTCTAAGCTACGATAATACTTGGCATCAAACTTACTCTTTTTTTTTTTTTTTTAAACAGAGTCTCACTCTGTCACCCAGGCTGGAGTACAGTGGCATGATCTCAGCTAACTGCAATCTCTGCCTCTTGGGTTCAAGTGATTCTCCTACCTTGACCTCCTGAGTAGCTGGGATTATAGGCATGCACCACCACAACCGGCTAATTTTTTGTCTTTTTAGTAGAGATGGGGTTTCACTATGTTGGCCAAGCTGGTCTTGAACTCCTGACCTCAAATGATCTGCTTGCCTTGGCCTCCCAAAGTGCTGGGATTACAGGCATGAGCCACCATGCCTGGCCCCAAAATTATTCTTTATACTATGAATTTGTTTCTAGAAAACAGTTATTCGATTCCCCCACTAGAAGCATGGAACCACAAACCAGAGACCATAAAGAACTTCAAAAAATCTTCCTAAAAGGGAAACCATGTAAATTTTATCACTTTATCACAATAAAATAAAACTAGGAAATTCAGTTTTAAAATTTGAAGCAGGCTGAGTGTAGTGACTTACACCTGTAATCTCAGCACTTTGGGAGGTCAAGGTAAGAGGATCACTTGAAGCCAGGAGTTGAAGACCAGCCTGGGCAATATAGTGAGACCCTATCTCTACAAAAACATTTTAAAAATTAGCCGGGAATGCAGATGCGCTCTTGTAGTCCTAGCTACTTGGGAGGAGAATTGCTGGAGCCCAGGAGTTGGAGACTGTAGTGAGCTAGGATTACACCACTGTACTCCAACCTGGGCAAGAGAGCAAGATCCTGTCAATCAATAGATCAATGTTGAAGCAACTACAACAGATTGGAAAACACATGCTCAATCACACACACAGACACATATACATATAGATTATTTTAAGCCAACATGGAATCTGGGGCAGCAATGCAATCTTTTTTTGATAATAACTCAAGAAAAATACCAAATATTGCAGTATAGGGAATACATCCAAAGGTGTAACTTTGGATGCATAGCCTTAGGTCAGGTCAGTGCACAGCCTTAAATGCTTTTATTATTAAGAAAGAATGAAAATAAATTTACTAACGAGTTCCAATCAAAATATTTAAAAGAAAAATAAACCAAAACTAAAAAGAACAAGAGAAGGAAGAGAAAATATAAATGCAGGAATTAGAAAATATATAGAAATAATCATGTAAGTGAGAAATAACTTATGAGTTTTTTAAACAACAGGATAGATACAATTAAGAAAGAAAAAGAAAGAACATGTAAATTCCATTCAATAGGAATAAGAATTTAACCAAGAAAGTAAAATACATTCTAAGAAATTACTCTAAGTAGTTCATGGAAAATCAGGTATATTCTACCTATGTGAAAAAGCAGAAGTCATAATGTTACCTCCAACAAAATTATTGACTCCATGATTTATTTTCTTTCTTGCTTAAAGCTTTTTATGTCCTATAATACTTTGCATATTATCAAAAAACTTTTTTTTTCCCAGAAACTATGGTTTCTAGAAATTAATGCTAGGATGCCTACTATTCCGAAGCATTGCTCTAGGAGACCAAGTAGATTCTGTGAAGCATAAGGATGTTAATGAAATCTAAATATCAGGAGAATGCATAAGTACCAATAGAATGGACTCATGTTAGTGAGACACCAGAGGTAAATGAGCATACTGCCCACATATGGATTGTACAGCTCCATTTAAAAAAACTTGTTGGCAAAAAGTGGATAGTCACCTTTTCTTTTTTTTTTTTTTTTTTGTGGTTATCTCTTTTGATGAGAGTATCCTTGAAAATATTACTAAAGTATTTCCTCTTCTTCCTATATAGAAACCATTCTGAAAGCATAATTGAGATAAACCACTGTCCTTATTTGCCCTTTGGGTAAATTAGATGCCTATCATACTTTGAATTTGTTTTCTATAGCTGAAGATATGCAGCACGTACTGTTTAGTTTTAAAAATAAATTTACTTTTGTATAGTTATTGTCAACCCATGCTAACTCCGCTTTTCAAAGAGAAAATTGAAGTCTTAAAATTTAATGCTTCACATTTTAAAAATTGATATCAATTCACTGAAAACACACACACACACACACACACACACACACACACACACACAGAGGAGCCCCATATGTGTGCCTGGACCTGGGTTAAGCTAAAAATATATGAAGTTCATATTAACCACTTCCTAATCCTGAAGAGCTGAGGCAGCAGCTACTATTGATTTACCATTTTTACCGGCTCTCATCCATGTTGATGTCATTTTGCCATGCAACCTCATCTCCATTTTACAGGAACGAATGACACTCACGGACATAACTTTCTAATACACTGATAACACCTGCTAGACTTTTCAATTATGCCTACACAGTAGGGTTACAGTCAGTAACACATCATTCAAGAGGAAAGACCAGAAAATCAGAACACTATTCATAAATAGTTATCCAAATATACATGTGGATATACAAACACAGCTATATACTTACTCACATGCAAATAAAGGCTCAGAAGTATTTTTCAAAAACAATGAATGGATTTCAAAAATCTAGCTTTTTTGGGGCTCATTTAAGCCTGGGAATCCCAGCTCTGGGAAGCATCACCAGAAGACTCTCATCGGTACCCACTTCCCATCAGGCTCTGGCTGCAGAGAACCATCTAGAAGTCAGAAGCTCACCTTGCTGCCACAGTGTGAACTGGCTCCAGTCCCCTTTTTCTCTCAGGTTTTCATCCTCAGGTAGGAAGAGACCTTTGGCTTTATCCATCACTGCAAGGCCTTCATCTCGGATTAACTTCCAGTTTCTTTCTAAAGACTAGAGAGAAGATTCTGGCTTTACTAAAATGAAAACAGGCCTGGTGGAGCACCTCATAATGACTTTTTTGTTGTTGTTGAGGTTTGTTTCAGAAAGGAATGAAATTTTTGCCTTATCTAGATTGCTTATATTGAAATCTCTGAGGCTTCTTGTCACAGGTATAAAAAAAACAAATCTCATGATTTTTCCAAACAAAATGTTTTTGCAACATAACGATTTCAATAACTCCTAGAAATTTCAGAGTATAATCCTCTCCACAATTTAAGTTTTGCCTAGAGGCTTTTTTTTTTTTTTGAAACTACAACCTAACAAGAGTGCTGATCTTGTTGATCAGATTAGATCAATACACTGTAACAAGCTCCACCACGTGACACTTCAGCCTCCAAACTGGAACACAAATCACAGACTTAATTTCACCTTTCAACAGAGTTTCTTACAAAGATGCCATTAAAGATGTTCAACATTAAACATTCAATGGTATCAGAAAAGTGTCCATTGGAGGATTTGATATATAAAATTAACAGCAAAGCAAAACAAATATGTGCACTAGTGTTTAGCATTCAACTAAACAAAAATATTTCCTTGACTTTTCATTTATGAGGGAGACTTAACCCCTTCCAGAAAAGGAGCTTATGACCAGCAGAGACTAGGAGCGGCCAGGCAGGTGACAGTAGATCCTGTGGAAGATCCTCTGGGTAATCTGTACCATCACATTGGCTGTTGATTAGGAGTGGGAGTTGGGGGACAGTGCGGTGAGTAGAGGAGAAGGCAAAGGTGAGCATCTGAGCAGCAAACTCAGATGGATTTCCATCAGGAGACAAGCATAAAAACAGCATTCCTACTTTAGGAAAGAGACAAAGCTGTACAGATAAACTAGAATTTTGAAATGTTAATTTCAATCATTGCTATGTTCTATGAGAAGTGGATGAAATAGTTGAGTATATGGATTCATGAACGGGGAGGAACATGTTAGCTGATTTCAACAAGGATCAGGGACAGATATATTTTAAGTGACTCAAGAGCATAGGACTAGAACTAATAAGTTACAAACCCAAAACCAGATTTTGATGCAAAAATGGAAAACAAGTTGCATACTGATTTTCTTTGTAAAACATGGTTCTCTATCTTTTGAATTAATCAAGCACAATGATCAATTATTGGTTAGAGAAAAGCACAAGATAATGTGTTCAGTGTTTTTTTGGTTTTGTTTTTACAAAGCCTTGCTCTGTAAACTCATGATTTCACACGAGAAAGTGATGTGGAGTCGGGATGGCTGCACAGCCAGAGGGCTCTGACACAGACATCTGTGTGGAAACATGGTGCCAGCCACAGCCAAACAAAGGAATACTTTTTATATCACATGAAAACATTAGTTATTAAAATATTTTAGGGTAAGAAACAGATTTTCGTTAGATATTGATTTGATAATTTTATGACATGTATGCATTAACTTGTGTTAATATTGTTAACAAAAGACCAATGAGACTTGTGCAGGCCAAATGAGAACTTTATTTTTCAAAAGCAGCTGCAGATTAGGGAGATGCAGCGTTGGAAAGTGCTCTCCCAGGAAGGGTTGGGGAGAAGGAGATGACAAAGGCCAGAACTCCAGGGGATGGCAAGTGAGGGGTGTTGGGAGTGAGGAAGAATCTTGATTGGATGGCCTTTAAGCCGCAGATCACCAGTCTCTGGTGGCTAATTGGCTGGTTCTAGGTGGTTGCTTGGTTGGTGCTAGGTGGTCGTTGGTGGTCAGTTGGAAGAATTTCCAGTTGAGGTTGTTTTCAAAAACGTTCTTTGACTTGGTTGCAGAAAAACAGGTTCTGCAACACTTTCCAAGGACACAGAGAACATGACCTGCATGACTGCTTTTAACTTTTGAGCCAAAGGGAGTTCATTTTGTCTGCCAACTAGGGGCAGAGTTTGACCACATCTATACCTGCTACTACCACTGCCCAGCTTAGAGTGGTCCTGAACATTTATCCAGGTTTAGGGCTCTGTCCACAAACTAGTTTCCATGTTGCTTCATCCCAAGTAGGCAGTTCATGAAGAAAAAGGCAAAGATCACACTTCAATAAAGAGTCATTCAAAAGCCCTTACTTTGTCAGATTCACAGATTGAGAGCATACCACCATTATGTAAAAAATCCCAAGACCATGAAAAAGAAAAAAAAAATGCACCCTAGGATTTTGCCGTATGCTCACATCTTCCCAAATGCACCTCAATTGCCAACACTCACTGTGGATATTGTCACTTGTTCAAGTTGCTAAATAAATCTGTTAGATTCTTGTTAAATTGTCACACAGACAAGGGGAGAATTGCTTCTGTAACACATGAAATTACTTTTCAAATGAGGTTATTGGTGCCTCATAAGGACAACCTCTTCCTTTATTCCCTCCTGGTATTTTAGAAGATTCTTTTATTTCTTTAGAAAGCTGATTTAGGGGCATGGTTGGAAACAGCTGATCTTTTGTTACTAAAATAGGGCACAAAGCTCTAGGGAAAAATGTTAAAGTGATTGCATCACTAAGTATAATTTCACATTTTTTACTTAAGAATAGACATCTTTTATATATAAAACATTGCCCTTCCTGCCTCTTCACCCCAGCCTCCCCTGGAAAATGTTGCCAAGGTACTTTTCTGTGAATAGTAATAATTTTTAAAAAAATGTTTTGGCTTTTCCTTGTTATGTGTGGCACATATGTACTGGATGACAGACTCATGCTCAAAAGGGGCAAACTGGTACAGAAGGGTGTCTCTGAACACCTGCCCTAATATGCCACTAGATATGCTCAGTACTAACTAGTACTACTAACTCAGTACTATGTAGTCCATTTTGGTTATAAAACAGTCACTTATTATTTTCTGTTTTGAGTTCAATGCTTTCTTATAGAATTTTACAGTGGGAAGGAACCATACTGTTAATCTAGCTGAAATTTCTTCAGCTTAGGGATAATGAAATGATTCCTAGTGTGGTTAATGAGCCTAAATCCCACAGTCTAGTGGTCAGCACAGCTGGTGCCAAAACCTCTCTGTACTATCTCCCCCTTGATTATTAGAGAGGGTCACACTCAGGCACAGGGATTTCAGGCTGTGGTGGACTCAAGGGGCCCTGCTCCCCTTGAGCATAAGAGCAATTGTGAGGTACCCCAGCATCCTGGTCTCAGAGGTTTACTGGGTACCTGTGACTGTGGGCACTGGTCGGGAGTACTTACAAGGTGCTTAGAGAGCAGCATGCTCCCCGGTGAGTGCCATGCAGAGGGCATGCCTCAAAGACAGTTCAATATCTTTCACAAGTGGGGAAAATTGAGGGAGCCAAAAGATCCCACCAGTTAAGCCTGATGACATATGCTTGAAGGTGTTTTCCAACTTCAGAAAGATCTGACGGGGGCTTTTATGGGCATTTGGGGGAAATCTGGGATGGGACCTAAAATGTTTTTAAGTGCAAACCAAGGAATCATATAATATAATATTCACATGGTTAGAGGAAATTAAAGATCAAACCTAATACACTCGGCATGTGTGTGTGTCTATTCAGGACAAAAACAAAATACCATAAATTGAGTAGCTTATAAATGACAGAAATTTATTTCCCACAGTTATGGAGTATCAGAAGTCCAAACTCAAGATGTTGGCAGATTCGATTCTGGTGAGGGCCACTTTCTGGTTCATAGATGATACCTCCTAGCTGCCTCCACAAATAGTGAATGGAACAACCAATCTCCCTGGGGACTCTTATAAGGGCACTAATCCTGTTCCTGAAGGATTATGCCCTTAAGGCATAATCATTATCCAAAGCCCCCCTCTTAATACTATCACCTTGGGAGTTAAGTTTCAACAGGTGAATCTGGGGGAGACACAAATACACATCAGTGTATGTGTGTGTAGGAGAGAGGGAGAGGGAGAGAGAATACGAATTTTCTCTACAGTAATACCACCCAGTTGTCTTCGATGGCAAACAATTCAGCTTTTAGGGAATTCCAACGAAAAACTTGAAGGCTCACAAACAGCAGACAACGCCTACATTTGTAAAAGTCTTTTCTGAAATATTACTCCCTTGACTCTAAATTCATCCATTTCATAAAACTGAAAAGAGAAAATAATCTCTTTGGTATTTGAGTTGGCTGCCCAAAAGACAACAGCTTCTAATTCCCATTTCTTCTTGTGGCAAAAGAGACTTTAGAAAGCAGAGGTCTGATTCTTTCTACAGTGCCACATGGCTTCATAAAGCCACTCTGCATGTGCTTCACTAGTTACCCCTTAACTACATTTTTCACTCTACGCATGTATAAACGGACTTCCCAGTTCTGATCTCATGAATCCCACAGCATGCCAGCTCTCCTGAATCCCAGTCCTGCATCCAGTTAGGAGCAGTTTCCTCATCTCCCCAGACAGCCTGTTCATGTCGCCTGGATGTTGTACTTTCTTCGTAACATCAAATTAAACTAAGTTCTATTTTTAAAATCTTCTCTTAAAATTGACTTCTTGTAGAAAGCCTTTCTCTTGAGAAGCAAACTAAAGCCTAACTCATTTTTATGTAACTATTTTTCTTACTAATGTTTCTATTCAATTAAAAAATACACATTTTTTAAAGTCAAATATTATTACAGGTCTCATAATGAAAATTGCAGTCTCTTCCCCAGCTTTTCCCCTATCCTCATTCTAACTCCCAGCTAATTATTTAAAATATTTATTCTGTTATTAACTGGCTTATACCTAAACAGCATGTTTATATTGGTATTCTTGATTTATTAATTTGAGGCATTATCACGCATCTATGACAGAAGGTTATCAACTGAATTTAATGTCTTCCTTATTCATCCTTGTAATATAGTTAATTTCACAAATCTTTCATATATCAGTGTGAATTCACATTCAGATTTTATAATATTATGACAATTGGGTATCATTCACGCTTGACTTGAGTTGTAATGATTACACTTCATGTCACATACAGCATTTTTTTCTGCCCCCTTTGCATTGGCTTTATTTTCTAATGCACTTCA